TGTCGATATGGTGAGATTCAACCACGTGAAAACAACGTTGAAGTGTCTAGACCGGTCAGTCGAGATGCAAGTATCGGCTGTCTGATCAGCAGCGCCGGTAAGGATGTCAATGATCGCCGCAATATGCAAAATTGAAGCCAGTAGGTGTTCCGATATTTCGCAGGCTGTCCGAGTACATGGCCGGGGTTATGCTACCCCACGCGGTCTCTTTCTTGTCTGACATGCATCCCTCGCTAAAAGATGCATTTCGAGATGTCGGTGCTGCGGCTGGCATCGACTGCGGGGTTGGATAGCATCCCATTGAGCTGGCCTCACAAGATCGTGGCTTCTGCAGATCTAGGGGCGGTCCAACAGGACCGCCAGGCCAGCAAGTGAGCCCACGAAGCTTAATAGAGGGGTCAAAAGAGATGAAGACAAGAGGCCGTGTGCTGTGGTGACTGGGCTGGCCGACAGCGTAGACAATGGACCGATCGTCCATCGCCCCCGAAATTGGACCGTGGAATTGTTTACCCCTCGGGTTGAGAATATTGTCCAGAGCTTCGAGAGATGAACCCCGCGTCTCTGTATCCAAGCTTTGTGGCCAACAGAAGACCTCACTGGCCCTATCAGAGCTCTGCTGACGGCCGGCCGGAATAGAGCGGGATATTGAACGTATTTGTGGTCTTTGTACCATGGTCTCGCTGGCAGCAGGATCGTTGATGAGATCCATAAACGTTTCGCAAGATTGGTGATAAGAACGTATAAAGCAGTGTGTAAAAGTGGCTGCTGGGATGGTTGACCCATCATCGCCTCGGTGAACTGTCGATGGGTCTCGACTTGGTGTGGTCTTAGCGGCTGCAGACGTAGAACCAGATGGATGCTCCATCTCGTCCCCGTCATCCTCGTAATCAGATTGATCACTGTCAAAGTCGTCGCTGCCGCAAAAGGTAAGTTCTGTCCGGTAACTCGTTCGGGTGCTCGAACAGTCGCCGACAAGATATTCCCGTCGGCATTCGACAGCCATGAGTCCACCCCCGACTGGATCCTTCTCGAGACTCAGAGTGCTCCATCTGTCGTCGATTGGTCCCTCTTGATGCTGACGGCGCCACATTTTCTTCTTTGATGTCAGCTGCATGTCTCGCGGGCGTGAGCTACCAACCGGAAAGCGGAACCCATGGTAATATGAGGTCCAGTCCGTTTCATATACGTCAAAACTTGACAGACTCGACAGGCCGTAAAAGTGATCATCTATGATCTCAAAGCACACCGTAGCTCCAATGTCTGAGCCAACGATGTCCTCCAGGTCCAAGTGACCAGAGCCCCACTGTTGATCCCTGATGCTAAAATGCTTCAGTACCCATCGCTTGAAGCCATCGTCCCCGACAAAGGAATGAGTTCCATAATATAAGTAATTCTGGGTGTTGCGCACGAATAGCTTTTGGTGCGATTCGAGACGATGGCATGTGAGCAACTTCCGCTCGTGCAAGTTCAGCACGAGAAGACGGCTGCGACCTTCGATTTTGGGCGGAGTATAGAGGCATGACACTATACCCTCGGCATAATGTATGGGGCGAAACTTGTAGCTATTGTTTCCGAGGTTCTCATCTGGAACGGATCGAAGCAATGCGACAGTATCGATTACAAACTCCACAGATCCAGAATTGTGGAGATCGAGAACACGGAGTCGCTCGGGGCCGAGAGTATAGCAGAGCATGCCGTTGCAGTAGATGAAATCATTGGCGCAGGCCACGACGGCTACTGAGTAAGGTGTGGCTGTGACGATAGCATCTCTGCTTTTGACCAGTCGGCGAAAAACGCGGGCATATTGTTTAGATGACCGGGCAACCCGGAGCTCAGCTGAATACGAAGCATGAGTCTAAGCCACCAAGTCAGCAAGGGACTGCAAAAGTCTTCAGATACGGAACTTTTCTGCGCTACCTCGAGTGCGGTCTTACAGATATCGTCATTAGTGATCAAGTAACTGAATTGTCGGCAGGTAAGAGCGAGGTTGAATATGTCATGTAAACCTAGAGGATTGGTGATGTAGGTCATTATCTCGATAGGCAGCCGTTGCATCCTCGCAAATTTGATGGCTGCCGTAAACCCGTTCCAAGACCATCCGAGAAAAGTGAAAGATGTTGTTGGGTGGTTCGCACGACGACATAAGGCAAATAATAATAAACTTGTATCAGGTCAAGAATATGGGGTGCCACGCGCGAAGGAGAACAGCGTATCAGGCGACGTGGTGCATGATGGGGTACGGCAGCCGGAACTCCATGCTCCTTCAATGAGGAAACAGCACAGAGGTGCTTTATACAGAGTACCGCCCTAGGGTCGGCACTGAGCAGAGCAGAGCAGAGCCTCATGTCGCCCAACTTCATAGCCTGCCGCTTTGTTGGGAATAGCGTGATAGTCTCTTTCCAGGGTGGCTGGAACTGACCGTCATTGACAGCTCCATTAGCTGATGTCAGGTCATCGAAGTTGAAAGGGCTTGCCGGAGCAGAGCCGCAATCTCTGGAAGCACTTGCTTAATCTGAAGGGAGCGCAGGATCAGCGGCTGAAAACCGAACACTTGTCCAGAACAAGTACAACGTGCCGAACTCGAGAATGTTTGGGAGAAATTAGCGGGCAGCACTTGACTGAGGGATTTGAGGCTCTCAGCCTGATTAATGGATCCATGAAAGGGTTCCTGCGCCCCTTGATCTGCTTGCAGAAAAGCCGTTCATCGGAGTTGGTACATAGTGTGTACAAAGTGCGCTATTGCCTGGTACTACCCCCAGCCTTTTCATCTGGGATCCCCCTTGCAGCAACTGGGCCAATCATTTGTATTGAAAATGTCGCTAACACATTGGAACACTAATAAATACCCTGTCTCACTCATCCCGGGCAGATCGTCCCTCACCTCCTCTTCACAGGATTTCAGCCTCAAGAATTCGGGGATCCGTCTCCCCGCCATTATTTTTCTTGTCCACGCTGGTTCCGTCTTAACACCTCCAAATCCATCGCCGGACGCCCGTTTATGACCATTACGATGCCTCACACCTCGTATGTTTGTGCAGAGCGTTGCTGGATTTCTCACAGGCCCCACTACTGTATTAGTTGTCTTACCTCAACTAATCATGTCCTCTAGATGAATTTGAGCATGCCAGAAGCCTTTGATCTAGGGTCGATGGGGTAATGAATGTTAGCTCCTTGAAATTCCAAAGTCTGCGCCCGCTTCCAATGGTACACGCTAAATCAACAAAAGGACCTTGCAACGAGGTTCAGCGAGTCCAAAGTCTCGAAAGTTTTGAGGCTGTGGAGGTTGGATGCCCCATATCCTATCATCTTGGTGTAACTGTGAGGCTCGGCTTCACAGCTGCAAAGATGACAGGGAAGAGTCTCGTCAGTGGAGACTTGAAGATTTTTCCAGCTATGTATATCCGAACAAATATCGTGATTGACCGCCAGTCTAACCCATGGCCGGGTGAACTTGCTCAAAACTGCCAATTGTTTCTTCAGGGAACAACTATGTGGCGTGACTCCATTCGCTGACCGGTGCCCGACGATTCTCGAAGCTAAAGAACATGTCAAGTGACATTCGTACGGCGCATGAAACCGAGTACAGAAGCAGGCTGCGGTTACTGTCCCTATCTCTTCCGATAATACAACTTCATCTTGCTAGTCTACTCGGGCCGAGCTTTACGCCCCTTCCAGAGGTACAGGGCCGTCGACTCAAGCGAATGAAATCAAAATCTCGACGAGGGGCGTGACACCTAGTCTACCTACCACATGAGCTGTGCTACTTCGAGCTCAAATACCTAATGGTTGGGCGCAATTGTATGCTCACGAGATGTCATCTTCCAGGAGACAGGCCTGGACTTTGAAGGCCGTGATTGATCTTAGATAGGACGGATCTGACCGCATCACACTACACCTGTATTCGAAACTGTGATAAAACTTTTCGCACTTGCACGAGGTTGTACAAGATTCAATTCTTAAGGCAGTATCGCCATGATGCCTTTGCGGTAAAAGGCGCCCCACCTACCCACCAGTTTTCCACGAGGCATTATGCGCCGAAAGTGCTGAGAATGTGGCCGCTGCCAGTGCGATATGTCGGATCATTGACCAACTATACCAAAATATCTCGGCTCATTGGGGAAAGTGAGCGCCTTTCTGCCAGCCTTATATTCGGGTGTCGTTGAGGAGATCTCATGGCGGCATCCATGAACATTCGCTGTGTAACCGGGCGCCGGGCCGGAGCTCCATAGTCCATCGGGATTTATGGGTCCAGTCTAACGCATCGACGATCTACCTTACTTAGGTGTCTACGTCAGATATGAAGGCGGGCATTGTTGAAATACGTAGTCAGGCGCTTATTCTGCGAGTTCGGTAAGCGACCAAAGTTCTTCCGCCAGCCCATAAAGATAGCCAGGCCTGTTGGCACTGATTACAAATGATGAAATGGGCAAATCTCCATGGCATCCCGGCCCCAACGCCTATTTACGTTAATTCTTCGCACAAGACCGACAAAGCTACCCCTCCTTCACACTGCTGGCAAAACACACGTCCGAGGTTCACGAATGTTTTGAAGATCCACCGAAGGGCGCCATTGATAATCAGCAGAACTGTTCCTCTGTTTCCAGTCCCCCGCATGGCATGAGTTACTGGGCCCAGGCTGACAGAAGCATGGTGTCGTGCTTCAGCACTGCTGTTACTGACAGTTCCGCGCGGGATTTGAGAATCAGTTCCCGAGTCGGCCAGATGTGCATCACAGAAGAACCCCGCAACCCTTTGACGATGATGCTTCAGTGTCGCATACCCCACCCCGCCGCCGCGCTTCACGGTGTCGGGTACCGTGTGTAGCTCGTTTTTGACACGGACCCAGGGCTGGCTGTCATCGACCGTTCCGGCTGGGTTGGATCAAGATCTAATCCTGAATTCCTTTCTCACGACTTCTTTCCCTTCTTTTTCACACACTCCTACACCTCAATTGAATCCCAGACCCATTTTACCCTGACAGTCGTAACTCAATCGCAGCCATGGGTGCCTCAGAGCAAGTCGACCTCAGAGCGCCTTTCGTCAGCGACACTCTTTTAGAGGTCCGGACAAGCACCATGAAGAAGATGCCGGGTTTAGAGATCGAATCGGGGATAGACAAGAACCTGCGCAACGGACCCATTCGAGTCTCGTTCCTCGGCCTTGAGGATGACGAGCACGACCCGACATTTCACGGAGGTGTCGATAAGGCGATCCATGGATGTAAGTGGCTTACCATCTCTCACGGCGATAGCACATCCAACTCACAGTCAGTCTGCAGATTGTTCGTCGCACTACCCCGGATGGCAGACCGAATTTCCCGCAGCCGCAGATCGCTTCCAGCCGGGCGGCTTTGGCGAGAACTTCGTCACTAAGCACATGAACGAGCGCAATGTCTGCATTGGCGATGTCATTGCCGTCGGCGACGAGGTTGTGCTGCAAGTAAGCTTGCCTCGACAGCCTTGCTTCAAGCTCAACCACCGCTTCCAACTCAAAAACTTCGCCCCGAACACGTACAAGACGAGCAGAACTGGCTGGTACTACCGTGTTCTAAAGGAGGGCACCGTCAAGGCCGGCGACGAGATTAAGCTTGTCGAGCGCAAGTGGCCAGCATGGACTATTGAGAGGGTGCAGGAGTTCCTGCATAGAGACCAGAGCAACTTGCAGATGAACGAAGAGCTGGCGCAAATTGAAGAGATGGGGAAGGAGAGTCGTGGCGCGTTCCAGCGGCGAGTGGCCAAGGCGAAGGCCCAGGCGAAAAAGACGAAGGACAAGGGTGAAGAATGGCGCGACTACAAAATTGTCGAGAAGAAGAGGGAAACATCTCGGGTTTCTTCATTCACTTTGGAATCTGTCAGTGGCGATGCTCAACCCGAGGTCGACATGGAAGGCGCCCATACGAAGATCAAGCTTCCCAACGGACTGCTACGATCCTACTCCATTGTCTCTGGCGAACCCAAAAGATTCGAACTGGGCATCGCGCTCGAAGACGATAGCCGCGGAGGCTCTCGTTGGTTTCACGAATCTGCCAACGTTGGCGACATCGTCCAAGTCGGTCGGATCACTACAGATGTGAAGGTTGCCAGTGCGTCTAGCAACCACGTCTTCATCGTCGGCGGGATCGGCATTACCGCCTTCATGGCGCTCATGGAGGCCTACCATTCAGTCCACTACAATTTTGAGTTACATTACGGCATCCGCTCGGCCGATGATGTGCCGTTCCGCTCGCGCCTTGAGTCTTTTGGCAAGAGCGCCCGCATCTATGATGGTTCCAAAGGAGAAAGAATGGATATCGGCGAGATCATGCGGACTCTCAAGTGGAACAGCCACGTCTATGTTTGCGGACCGACACGTATGATGGAGGCGGCGAAGAAGGCGGCGGAACAAAGTGGCCTTGATGCCACTGACGTCCACTACGAGGCTTTTGCTGCTGATACGACTGGCGATCCATTCGAGGTGGAGGTGTCAAATCGAGACGGCAAGGTTCTCAAAGTCAGCGAAGAGGAAACGCTTCTGGAGGTAGTAAAGCGTGATATCGGCGACTTGGAAAGTAGCTGTGAGGTCGGAAATTGCGGAACGTGCAAGGTAGTGTTGAAGTCTGGTCGGGTCGCCCACAGGGGCACAGCATTATCTCCTGAAGAGAAGGCGGGATCGATGCTGAGCTGCGTGAGCCGTGGTATCGGAAGAATAGCGATCGAGATATGATGCAGAACGAATCAATTTATTTCAGAAACTATTGAGGCAGTCAGTGTTACTTCCGGTGAGTTCACAGATTGCATCGGTGCCGTCGATGCAGCGAAGTCACCGAACTTGACCGAACTTGACCGAGAAAGACGCACAGACCAGTAAGTCGCAATCGATAAGCAGGACTCGGCCCCACCTAAACTTTTTCCCAGTGGATTGAGATTTTTGGAAGCTGCTATGCTTGCATTCTCCGTAGAGAACACGACAAGACTTTTTTGACGTTGCTCGGCCCGCCCGCTGTCGCCCAGATGCCATCAACCGAGTCTCAAGGAGACGGCTTCGTCCTCCTCCCCGTCAAGATTCCCGCTCTTCCGTCTTGTCCCGTCAACGCCGTACACGAAATCCGCGTTCGACGAAACGCGCCCAAGATCCCTACCGAGATCGACGATCGAAGCCTGTTCTTGAAGAATGTACCAGTAGACAGCACCGAGGCCCATTTTCGCCAAGTGTTTGCCGCTCTCGTCGGACCCGGCCGCTTCGAGGGCATCGCATTCGAAGATGAGCGAAAAGCCGCGACCGCCATTGACCCAGCCCAGGCCGTGAAAGTCTCGAACTTTGGCAAGAAGCGCAAGCGCGGCGAGCAGGAAGCGGAGGAAAGAGCGAAGGAGGAAGAAGTGGCACGGCTGCCGGATATTTGGACGAGGAGGCTTCGAAAGAGCGGCAGCAGCGCCATCGTTCTTCTGGCCGATGACAAGAGTGTCGAGCTCGTGTTGAAGGCGATCAAGAAGGCGAACAAGTCGAAGAAGTACCCCGTCTGGGGTGAGGGTGTGTCGAAAGACCTATCTGAACTCGGATCGCAATGGATCTCGACCCATCTGCAACTCTCTCGCTGCGACAAGGTGGCGACGCAGAAGTCAGTTCACGCATTCTTTAACGTCTTCAACCGCAAGGAGAAGGAGGCACAGGAAATGGCCAAGAGGTTACGCAACGAGCCGGACGAAGACGGCTTCGTTACTGTTACGCGCGGTGGTCGTGCTGCTCCGGCGAGCAAGAACGAGGCCGAGGAGGCTCGCCAGAAGATGGTGGACAAGGCAGCCAAGAAGAAGTCAGAGACAACCGACTTCTACCGCTTCCAAATGCGCGAGCGTCGCAAGGCGGAGCAGGCTGCCTTGATGCAGAGATTCGACGAGGACCGAAAGAAGGTTGACGCTATGAGGGAGAAGCGCGGCAAGTTCAGGCCCGAGACATGACGCCGCGGAAGGCCTTTCTTGCAACCAACTACACAAAGATACCCCTGCTTCTAAGCACCTGTATAATGTAAGTTACGTGCGATTTCTTCTGACTTTGTCTTGACCATGATGACGCACGCGGGGCCAGCGAAGCACCTAGAAGTGAAAGACATGCTCTGGATCTGTTGGTGCAGTGCCGACAAACACCGCGTTATCATATCTTCTCAAATTTGTCTGAATTCAAGCAGGATTTGCCCATAGTCTTTCCCGCCTAACACTTGCTTGGATGAGGCTGACTGAATCCAGATTGCGATGGCTTGATCAAACCAACAAGACGGTCACAATTGCATCACCCCAAGCAGGTTCGCATGCGCCTACCATACGAATCTCAACCGCCATCAGGCCAATCATCAAACACTCTGCGGAGATGTTACCAAAAGCAGCCGACACGAATAGGAGTAAAAGAAGAAGACGGCCATGTATTCAGTCCAGTCGAAAAAGAGGATCAACAGGCTCAGATAGTCATGGAAGGAGGCCGGTTTGGCGGCCGCCACGCCGTCTAATGCCCTTCGGCAGAAACATCTCAAAGCCACGTGCTTGCCGGCAAATCGAAAATTTCGTCCAGACGTTTCCAATAATTGGGCTTTTGTTCAAGCAGACCCAGGAGTATGGTTTAGCTCCCATTAGCTTATCCCAGGCCCTAGGCGGTCAATCAAGCCTCCTGAATAGTACGTGGTGCAGTTTTTTCTCGATCCCATTCCAATGCAAGTGCGTCGTCTATTTTGCTTCGAACACCCTCATTCGGCAGACAAGTCTTGTTTTAGCGCCGGGCGGTGGTATCATGCTGCTCCGTCCGTTGGTTCTAGTGAACAGTCTACCGGACGCGATGGCGCTCCCATGCCATCGGCTTCTCGCACGACTCGACGTGGGAGGGGGCCAGGTGCAAATTCTGTTTCGTGCGAGACAGGATCGAAAACCAGATTCCCTTGGCTGCTGCTGCCTGCTGTGCTGCAGGTTCAGTGACCAAAGTCCCTTCGCATACACGACTTTCGCATACTTTGCCGCATGACCACAGCTTGGTAATTTAACAACCCCGGCACGATGCCATTGCTTTTGGGTTATCGTGGTTGAACTGTGGTCTAAAGGCTTAAAGCAGCTTTTTGGCTCGGCGTTGGCTCTATTTGGGCATAGCTCAAAACTGGTGGCCGACCTGAGATTTTCACTTGGCATCAACGGAGTAAACCCCTCACTATCCCACCAAGATGTTCACAACTCGCCCATATTCTTCCCTCTCTGAGCGCTGTGACGGTGCCAAGTGATAGCCGCATTGACGCTCCGTACTCCTTCAGCTCTCCCAGAATAGCCACCAGGCGGAAGGCTTCATCGACGTCCATCTCTCACCTGAAGCCTCATGTCTCAAATCTCTATTGACTATTCAAGAGTCCTGTTGCTCAATGACCTTGGCATTGCACGTGTATGTCGAAAAGAAATGTCGAAGCAAGTGGAAATTGATCGCAGGAAAGCACCTCGAACGACTCATGATTTTCTACGCCGCGGGGGAGAATATTGAATTATGTGGCACAGCCCAGAACAGCAACTATGTCTGACGAACACCTGCCTCTGCTGGCCGTTATCACGTACCTGCATTAGACATCACGCCAACTTGACAAGTGCATCCGGCGACCCAGACAACGTGTCGTAGGAAAGGGGAGGGTGGTTCTGAGTCACAGTTAACAACCAGATAGCCGCAACGCCACTAGGTGCGGCTGTCGCTGAAGGCTTGCGTTCTGTACCACGTTCGAATAGTCACGACGCTACGGTCACTTCAAGTTAGCACATCGGGCGACACACTCGCGACCCTGGCAACATATCGCGGCGCCCCGTGGCAGCCATCGCGGGATCCCTCCAATCGCTGTCAATCATTGCCTTTTTCGCAATTTCCCGGGCCCCTTTCCCGCAGACCTGACCCGCAGGAAAGGAACCTCCACCGAACTTGTGCCCGGACCTTACGGCGCTTGGCTCCGAAGCCGCCATTATTGGACTCTCGCGTGCTTCCCAGCTGCTATCGTGAGGCCTTATTCAACATAGGCTTTTCCTTTCTGGGCCCCAATTGCTCGACCAAGCGACCCCTACCCGATTTTGCAGAGCTTGCCAGGCCATCGAGAGCTACCCCTTCCAGGAGAAGCCCGGCCCTCACTAGGCCGGCTTGCCTCGATGCCGCTGTGCCCCCTACCCGCGTGTAAGTGCCCGACTTGCCAGCAGAGAGAGTCTTTCAACCACACACTCGCGATGTGCAACCAAGGGCTTCATAAGAGGGCACCTTGTCCACTCGACAAGGGTTTCCTTTTCCCTTCCCTCTTCACGCAGCACCTCGACAACTCCTGTGCCGTCCAGCAACCTCCAGAGCCACCTTGCTCGTCCAACGACGTATCTTTCGTCAAGTCACTCGTTTTTACAGACACCTAATACCTAGTCTCTCGTTTCAATAATCTTAATGCCGCTCAAAATGGCCCCTTCGCTCGTTACCATCGGCACTGCTGCCTTGGCCTTGGCTGGTGATGTTGCTGCCAAGAAGTTTTCTCTGGCCGATACGTACGACTCGACCAACTTCTTCAGCAAGTTCACCTTCTTCGAGAGCAACTACAACACCTCGAACTACAACGACGTCGACCCAACTTCGGGCTACATCAACTACCGCTCCCAGGCGGATGCCCAAGCCCTGGGTCTCGCGTCCACCGCCGGTGGCGAGATCTACCTGGGCCTCGACGCCAAGAGTATCACCCAGTTCCCTGGAGTTGGTCGCTCCAGTGTGAGACTTGAGAGCAAGGAAGTCTACAACAAGGCTCTGATTGTCGCTCGCTTCTCCCACTTGCCCAAGCCCGTCTGTGGTGCTTGGCCTGCCTTGTAAGTCTGTTAGTTACACTGTTGTCAACATCGGTACTAACATTGGCAAAGCTGGTCGTACGGTTCGCCTTGGCCCACGAAGGGAGAGCTCGATTGGTTCGAAGGCTGGAACCTTAACAAGGTCAACAAGCCCGCCGCTCACACCTACAAGTCCTCGGAACAAGGCCAGTGCCTCATCAGCTCGACTGGACAGACTGCCCAGGTGGACACGCCCAACTGTGATCAGGAGGCGCCCAACCAGTATTCCAACCAAGGTTGCACAACCTCGACCACCTCCTCTGACCCCTACGGCTCCTCCGATGGCGGTGTCTACGCTGTTGAGTGGACCGATGATTACATCAAGTTCTTCTCCTGGCGATGGGGCTCGGTTCCGGACAACGTCAACTCCGACTCCCCTGACACCGCCACCTGGGGCACTCCCAGCATGCTGATCGCCAACGATGCCTGCAACATCAACAGCCACTTCAAGGACCAGAGACTCGTCATTAACATCGGCATGTGTGGTGTGCTTGCCGGAAATGATGGCGTCTGGGGTAGCGAATGCAAGGCCGCCACAGGCCATGCTGTTTGCTCTACCTACGCCGCTACGAACCCATCGGCTTTCAGCGACACATACTTCAAGGTCAAGGACATCCGCATCTTCAAGGAGGGCGGTCAGACTTCCTCCACTGTCTCTTCCTCTGCCTCTTCCACGGCGTCCTCGTCCGCTTCTTCCTCCGCCTCCGCCTCCGCATCTGCCAGCCAGTCTTCTTCCGCCAGCGCATCGGCTTCTAGCCTCTCTGCCACCGATTCTGCTAGTGCCAGTGCCACTGCGTCTGCTTCGGTCAGCGGCTCCGCCTCTGCTCAGGCCTCAGGCTCTGCCTCATCTGCCACAGCCTCTGGCTCTGCCGCTGCTTCCGGATCTGCCACAGCCTCTGGCTCTGCTTCCTCCGACATTGCTTCCGCTTCCGCGTCCGCTTCTGCTTCTTCCCAAGCATCCGGCTCCGGGTCCAGCGCAGCTTCCGTCTCTTCTGCTGCTGCCTCTGCTTCCGGCTCTGTCACCGACGCTGGCACTGGTCCCGTCTCTGGAACCGCCAGCGCGTTCTCGACCATCACCAACAACTGGAACCAGACTTCCGTCATCCCCGCTCCCACCCCTGTTGTCTCTTCGTCCTCCGTCGTCCAGTTGACTACCTCAACAGTCTTCACCACCCAGGTTTCCACTGTGACCTCTTGCGCCCCAACCGTCACAAACTGCCCAGTCGGCGCCGTCGTGACCAAGACCATTGCCCTCTACACTACCGTTTGCCCCGTCACCGCCGCGGTCAAGACTACCTCCGCCAAGGGCAATGGCAAGGCTTCGACCAAGGTGAACAAGAGCAACACCACGAAGGCCACCACAAAGGTCAACAAAAACACCACCAAACCCACCACCAAGACGACCCCCCCTGGCGTCAGGACCACCGTCCTCACCAAGACCTACACCATCACTAAGTGCCCGTCTTCCGTCCCCAACTGCCCTATCGGCAGCGTGACTACGAAGGTCACCACCAAGGTCATCACTCCCACGCCCAAGACGACCCCCAAGACAACCACTAAGCCCGCCAACGGAGGCAGCAACAACAAGGTCTCTACCAAGGTCTACACCACGACTTACACCATCACCAAATGCCCTGCCTCCGTCCCCAACTGCCCCATCGGCAGCGTCACGACCAAGACCGTCACAAAGGTCACGACCCCTGGTGTTCCGGCCACCCCCAAGACCACCCCCGCGACCAAGGTCACCAAGGTTATCACTGTCAGCACCACTCCTGCTAAGACCACGGGCGGCAGCAATACGAACAAGAGCAACAACAGCAACAACGGCGGTGGCAGCAACACAAACAAGAGCAATAACGGCAACACTTACAGCAACTCCACCACCGCGGTCACCAAGTCATCCACCGTGTCCAGCGCCAAGGCCTCTGGCACCGCCCCTGGCGCTTCCACTACGGTTTGCTCCGGCGCCAGCTGCCCGGCGACGACGAAGCCCGTCATCACCAACAACGCCGTCCAGGCTGGCGTCAGCTTTGCTCTCATGGCGGTCGGCGCTTTTGCCGTCTTCGTTCTGTAAAGGTGTCATGATATGATTCCTGGAT